CACACTTAGTTTTCCATAATTTACTTAAGGTGATTTTAACCATATTTAACGCTCTAAAATATGCACTTATAATAAAAGTGAAACTTTGGGCCCCCCACTTTAAAAGAAAGAAGGCCGGTTCAACTCAGCCCGCCCCAAGATTGTATAAACTAATTTAAAAAATCAAAAATAAAAAGAAAGTGTTTAGCCCCGGCTCGAATAAGTGCTCAGGCTTAAAACCACGGCTTAACCTGTCCTGAAGGTTAAGGTTAGACTGAGTCAGATTCAAGCTAACATTGACTGACTTCGGTCAGCCCGTTTGACCCAACTCAAATTTACAGCTCTAACTTACAATAAGCATCCTTTCGTAGAACAAGTTGTATTAGGTATTTTAATTAGTTTCTAATTAAAAGCATTGTACCCGAACTTTTATAGGTCATTTGATTTATAAGTTTAAATAGAATTAAAATTTATTAAAATTTATGTTAAAAAGAAACATTATAGTAAAAAAAAAGCTCAAATGAAAATATTTTTGTCCAAACCTATAAAATAAACAAAGGCTTAATATTGGTAGATTACTTCCCGAACTTTTGATTTCTATCCGTTTTATTTACTGACATTAAAATTAACAATGAATTTTAAAAATTAAAAAAACAATCATATGTCTATCTCATGATAACTTATAATTTCACAAAATAATTACATTGTGCGCAAAATGTACTCTTCACTATTGTTAAAACTCATGAAAGTTATAACATTTTGTATTTAATATATTTATTTATGTTAAATTTTCAATAATTATTTGATAAAGATATTATTATCTATGTTAAATTTTAGAAATTATTATCAATTTTAATATTAATGATCAAAACTGTCGAAACATAAGATTTTAGAAGTGACCTATAAAAATAAAAACTTTAGAAAATACAAAGTTTTTTGTACAATACTCCTTGAACTTTTTGAATTTAGAATTTTGGTTCTTATTTTTTCTTGACATTTGACCCATTTAACTTTTAAATCTTTACAGTTAAGCCCCAATTGAAAATAACGTTTATTTTTTTTATGATTCTGATAACATGAAGCGCATGTGAGCATCTGTTGAGGGTAATAAAGGTCATTTCTCACTTTTAGAGAGTCTAATAACCCTTAAAAACTAATAGTTGTTTGTCAGAGCATATTGTATTCAGACACATTAGATGACTCTGAACCAAACAAATGAGAAATGACTTTCATACCCTTTATAAATCTTCACATGCGCATCATATGATTAGACTTATAAAAAAAACAGGCGTCATTTCTGATTAGAACGTAATTGTAAATATTTAAAAGTTGAAGGAATCAATTACTAAAGAAAAAAAAAAGCACTAAATTGTCAAGTTTAAAAAGTTGATGCAATATTAGTATGAAAAAACCTATAACGATGCTAATAGTTTAGTAACTAGCAATGATAATAACCGCTCTACTAGTTCGAAAATATTTTGGGTTGTGGGTCTAATAAAAAATTGGCAGAGGGATAATTGTAATAAATTATATAAAAGACAGGGTACAAATGGGCCATATGTAAAAATACAAGATTGAAACTTGTATTTCAAAAAATAATAAAGGATGTTTTTGTTATTATGCCTCTTTGGGTAAGGAACAATTAGGGTTTATCCCTCAGCCTATAAATACGAGGTTTGCGTTTTGGTTTCTCAGTTCGAGGACAGCAGATCAAACTGCGTGCTTCAATCCGGTTCACTTTTCTGTCCACTCTCCTGTTCTTTTACTTTCATAGATTTCTTTCAATGTTTTTTCGTACCATTGTTGTTTCCGTTTGCTTTTATGTTTTTTCTTGAAGCCGAGATCAGATATCTGAGCGGATGATGAAAGAAATTGGTATTCAGTACTGACTAGTACATGATGTTTCCAAAATTCGAGCTTTTTAAAACTGACGCTCAGATTCTTAATGCTTTTTCCTTCCATTGTTTTTTCTTTTCTGATTGCTTAAATTTTGAGATTTCTTTTTACCAGTTTTTTTATTTGTATGCGTAAATATATTCTATGGGTTTCGGATGTCGTTTTCCTTCTTTTTATTTTTTATTTTTTTTTGGAAACAAGCTTTAAGTCTTCATGTACTTTCAATTTTCATAGTCGGTTTCTGAATTCTGAGACAAGAATCCTGTGAATATGAAGGTTCGGGCTCCAAAAATCCTCTTTTTTTTTCCCCCGTCCACTGTCGTTTGTTAATGAACGACAAGAATTAAATTCTTGGTTGGTTATTCACAGTCCAACAAAGATAATAAGAACACAATAAATTTTAGCGGTCAGTTAGAAAGTAATACTATTTACATGTTGCTCTGTTTTTTTTTTCTTCCTGGCTTTATTATACAATGAGTCATTAGTATTACATGAAAACGCATGTGACCATTTGAAGTCTTGCCAGACTTTTCTATCCGGGAAAAACTCGAGTATACTTGAAAATTGTCGTATAAAAATCCCCTACTCTTCTTGCTTCTCCGACAATGAGTGGCAATAAACTTTAGTATCTGGGGTCAAAATGCTACATTTGTTGGACTTTTGTTGCATGTGGTTGCTGGATTATTATTATAACGGGGTCTTTGGAGCTTTCCTTACTAGAAGTTGCCTGAAACAATGCAATTTTTTTTAGCCCAAAAAAAAAAAAAAAAAAAAAATCTAAAAAATATTGAAAATTGTTATTGGTAATGCAAGTATTTCCAGCAAAAAAGAGTTGTAGCGGTAAAGTGAAATTGAAAAGGTTCGGAAGAAACTCTGCCGACATTGCTTACCACCCCAATTTGCCATTCACGACTGCTGAAGTCTTTGAAAGTGGCAGCATCCATTTCCTGCGGTGATATAATTTCGTAATTAGAAGTTTTGACCAAAAGAACAAAACTTTCCCCTTTTTTTTTAAAAAAAAAAACAGAGAACAAAAAAGTTCTAATTACTATTGGTGATGCATCTGATATGTGGCGGTTAACATAAGAGGGCTCAGTTTTTGTCATGTGATAATTCTCTTTATATACAAAGTGCAAAATTGTACTATTTGGTATTTGGATATTTGAGACTTTATTTACAAAGATGCAAAATTGTGCTATTTGGTATTGGATATTTGAGATGCCAAATTATAGAAGGTGATGCCTCCTATGATATAGATTAAATGCCAAATTTTATAAGGTAATGCTCTTACTATACTATAAATTGGAGGGATTGTTGTCTCCCCTTTAGGTTTCAGAGTTGGCATGACAGAAAACCGCGGTGCCAAATCTTGTGACCTAAAAGTCCACCTACAGCATAAATATAGAGTTGTCGGTTATAACATCAAAGAAAATGGAAATTTGGAGGGAAAAGTAATGAAGCTACGAATGAACATTTGCAGAAGAAATAATATGCATACAGCATACCCAATATAAGAAAAGATGCATAACTGTGCCCATTCTCGAACCACCAAGCGAAGCCAGTAATTTTCTGATGAGTCATCCAAGTTTATGTATAACTGAAAAGCAAGAGTTTAATTACCTCCTAAGTTTAAAGAACACTGCACAATCACAAAACTAATGTAAAGATATATTCCATTATCCATACCACAGCCTCAGCCAGAGCCACTATTTGCATTGCACCTTGAAATTTTCTGCGCAAACAGCACACATTGTTGAAGAACATATATGTATAGATGAGAAATACGTATTTAAACATAATGTGAAGCGTATATTGTATAGATGAGAAACACATACTTAAACATGATATACTTCGTATATACTGCATCATGCATTGCGTGAACATCCTCATCTTCTATAAAACTAAGTTGTTCCCGCAGAACTAACAAGTTCTGTGATGTGTGGTGGAAGATCACGTAGAAGGTAATCAAATAATTAAGCGGTAGCAGGACCTAGAGAGCAATCATAATTAGGGAATTACCAATAGACGAGACAGAAAAATTGGATGTGAACTGGAAATGAACTTACAGAAAAATAAGGCACGGAAGCTCTATATCCGACAAGAGTCAAGTAAAAGACGCAGCCTAGACTGGCGGTAGTACGCCGCTCGTTTACCGACAAACGCTCGCACATTATGCAGTAACCATGAGAAATGAGCAAAAATGACACAAATGAAGCTGTCTGAAAGAGCACTCCTGTGACATACACTCCAAACGACATCCACAGAGAGCATATCTCTAGATAAAAGCATGAATACCTGCAAAATTGATCGTGTTTAAACTTTTTAACATTTACGACATAAAATGAAAGTCCTAAAATTTGAAGAGAGAGAGATAGCGTCCTAAAATTTGAAGAGAGAGAGAGAGAGAGAGAGCGTACCAGAAAAGGAAAGACAAAGTTAGTTGCAAGGCTTTAATTAAAGGAACGGATGCGAGTGTCCACTGTAAATTATTTGTCTGCTCCAGTTTAACCACACAACAGAACAAAGTAATCTTGATTTTAGTAAATTGGATTAAACAAAATAGATCTAAAATTGAAATGATTAGAATCTCCAAGTTAAGATGAAATAACTTAATCAACACAGTATCTTAACTGTTAGCGATTTAAATAATTAAAATCCTACCAAATGAATAATCTTCATTACTTGATTTATGTAAGAGAAAAATTTACCCTAAAACCATTCATTTTCTTCCCCGTGTACTAAGGTTTCTCAGCAACTAAACAGAACAAATAGATCAATCAATAAAAATGATTTTCTCGGGAATTATTCGAAAAAGAAAAACGTTATATATTCCATGCAACCAAACAGAGCCTTGTTGACAGTTTCTTCAAAAATCACAAAAGGACACGTCAAAGTCCTTAGATTTCAACCAAATCGATTCATTTTCCCAAGAAAACTTCCACGTTCATTTGAATCATCGTCAAATCAATCCGAACACAAGAATTCAAATCGAAACTGAGGGGGAAACAAAAGAGAATGAATATGCTGAAAAGGAGACCTGGAAATGGCGGTTCTTGTAGGTGTTGAAGGTCCAGGAACAAGCAGAGACGAACCAAATCGACCAAAACGCCAAGTAGAGAGCAGGCAGTGGGCGATACGACTCGTTCAGTGCAGCACCATCCGAAGCGTCCATGATTGAAAAAATCAGAAGCTTAATTTAGAAACAACTAACAAAGAGAGAAAGAGGGAGAGAGTTATATATATATATAATTGATTGTGGTCTTTGGAAGGCCTGTTTTCCGTTTTATATACGCTGACACGTCTCGAACGTGTCCGTTTGATTTGCGTTGTGTTCAAATTTTATTCAAGGAGTTTACCATTAAGACCGCGAGTGTTTCGCATTTGTTATGGATAGAATTATATTTGAAAATAACTTTTTATTATTCAATGATAAAAATGCCTTTCTTATTTATTTTTCTTATTCTTTTTTTTTTTTTTGAATAAAGTTGTTAATGAATTTGTAAGATGAGAAAAGAGATTGAGAATGTAAAGATCATGGGCCAGGACATGGGGAAGTGAAGTTGGTGGGCTAAAGTTCATGATCATGTCGTATAAAGTTAGGCTCCTAATTACGAGCCTAACTTTTGGACCACCAACTAATTCATCGAAATATTGTTTCCAATAGTTTCTCGGATTCTCCTATTGTTGTAATTGTCACGATTATTCTAAGGGGTTTTGAGGATCAAGTAATAAGAACCTTCTTCTCTGCATGAGGATATATATAAAATATTCTAGTGGTACCATAATGGACACTTAAAACAAGAACGTGGAAAGCACTTTAATTAATCATTGTTTTTTTCTTATTTCAAAAAAAAAAAATCATTGTTTTTTTTTTTTTTTTTTTTTTTTTTTTTTTTTTTATAAATAAAATCGCAGATCTTTGAAAAATCCCTTTGAGGATGTTTACCAAATCGAACTAAGGAAAATGTATATGTTTTGTTAATCGACACAAGCGCTTGATCAACTACTATAGAAAAAGGATAGGTAGGCGACTAACTGACCATTTTTATGGTATTTTTAGGTCGAAAGAATAGAGAACTTACGGTAAGAAATTACTAAGAAAATGAAGTATGTTCTTGGGAAAAAAAATAAAAATAAGGTCCACGCTTTGGGATTAGGGTATGTATAATTAGTAATTACTTCTATCAATGTACATATGCATATGGAAATGAAGGTTCGCCATTTCTAGAAATATTAGGTGAACAAACTCACTAACAAAATTTTCTTTCCTTCAATCCTACTCCACCGAAGGAACCAAATATATTTCAAGGTCTTTTCCAAAGAAATAAAATATGTGAGCATATTAATTAATTATCGTAGTTGACTTGTCATATGAAAAAAAAGAAGAAGAAAAATAACAAAAATAACCTTTTCGACCATTTTCTTTAATTAGACATACTTTGGTGATGTGGGAATTTCTTTTTCAATGTGAAACTCAGGAAATTTCACTAATCAGAAATCGAAAAGAACACATCCAGAGTTGACAGCAGAAGTTTGCTAGCATCGGTCTCAACGATGTGAGGATATTTATAACACATATCAAATTTTCTATGGCTTGGAGCAGAATAAAATAAATTATTTATGCTAATTGCTAATTTTGGTGGTCTTAAATAAGCCTTTGTCAATTTGAAGCTTTTATTTTATATGAAAAAGACTAAAGAGTATGCTCTTGCTTTGATATGGTAATATACTATATCGTGTGTTGAGTGTTTGTTGTGATCAGATATAAAGGAGTCGTTAATCTAATGAAATAGATGTTTTTCATATATGGTCTTTGGTTTAAATTTTATCTGTTTAAATTTTGAAAAAAGGAGACAGATACTAAGATTTTTATTTTTTTACTTTTGATCAATAATCTTTTTAATGAAATAACTATATTAACAAAAATGTATTAATTAAGAATGAGGGATAAAAATAAGACCTATACAGGGCAAAATTCTGCAATTTTCTCTTAATCTTCCTCCTATTTTGTCCTCCAAAAGCTGACCCTAAGCCAGGACCAAAGATGGGCCTAGCACAAAAGCCCATTTGGGTTTTATCACAAAGTTTGGGGCTGGCTTATTTCTCTTTTGGGTTGAACTAAATCCAATCTCAGCATACCCTAATCCATGAAGAGAAATTATTGGCTAACCTCAACAGATACTACTTAAAAGTGATTTTTATTTTTACTATTGATTTATAAAATTTTTAGTCAAATAATTATACTAAAAAAAAAGATATTTATCAAAAATAAAGGATAAAGATTCACTCTCAAATAAATTCTCCATTTTTTTGAAATTTTTTTTATATTTGACAAAAAATCCATGAAATTTAGTTATCTTGTCACTTGAAGCACCAAAACTTTTATGTAATCTACTTATTTGTAGATTGCTGTTTTGCAACGCATGCAGATACAACCTAGTGGAAAATTCTGTCACAACCTCAAGGATAGGACCGTGATTATTAAAAAAATTAAGTTTAATTAAACTAAATTAATTAAAAAAAATATATAAAAGATAAAATAAAATATACAAATATCAAAATAGATATTAAAATATATTGCTCCAGAGTCTTTCTTTTAAAAAAATCTATAAAAAATAAAATAAAATGTACAAATATCAAAATAGATATTAAAATATATTGCTCCAGAGTCTTTCTTTTATAAACAATTTTTAAAATAGTCCATAAAGTTTAAAATTATACAACTATGGGAAAGTATCGACCAAATACAGTTTATATGCAGATATACAGTGCAACTCAGAATTAAAAACTGACAAATTCATAATAAACTAACCACTTCGAATCTCACGCATTCAATCCATCGGTATCCACTTGTCATGATGTAAATCTAAACTGCTAACTCTAGAGAGAGGGGTTAAAACATTGAAAATAGAGGAAAAGTGAGCGAAAAGTCCAGTAGGATATAATTTTATAAAGCTGAATAAATAAATGAAAGAACATGCCCAAACGAATCAGTCAGAACCAAACAACCTTTTTACTGAAAGGTAAATAAACTGAAATTCTAGATTACAGGCAACCAACAAGTAATTTAAATAATTAAATTACTTACGACCAATTCAAGGCCAAAGGTTTCGGGTCCTGCCCCAAAGGACACGATCTTCATATCATGATATCTAGGCCATCAGCGGGTTTACCGGTTCTTAAAACATCTTATTTTAAAGAAATATCTGTTAAAACCTTAATTCAGTTCATTATGAATTCAATAGCATAAATCATGTTATTTCCTCGAGATACTTTTCTTTATAAATTATGTTTTGTCTTAAAAACATTTCCATAGGCCAAAACACTTTATAGTAAGGCTATCAAGGATATGGGTAAGAATATGCTACATCTTGGCAATTTAGTCTACGAATAACTTCACGCTGTCTAATCGTCTATTCTTGAAGCTCCACGGCTCGTTCTGAACCTTAACGAATCCATTCGATTCGCGTTGATCTGCGTGCACGGTACCGGTAGACTTTTCAACGGAGTGGAATTGGCACAAACAAAGGTCACCGTTGTGTTCAGCACATCAAAACGAGTCAGGATATGGTCTCAAATCTTTGATCAGACGTCGGGAACCTCAAGAACTAAGATTCGTCAGAATCCAGCCACCGGCGGCAGCGGAGGCTGCCGGAGCATATTTCCACGGCGGACTTAGGTCCTATCCCCCCAAAATTGACCCTTATGAGTTCAATGGTGCAATCAATTTCACCCAATTCGGCTTCTATCTACTCCAATCAAACCCAAAAACGTCGGTAAAATCTGGCAATTTTGATCTTAATTATCCTGCTACGGGACCTCTAAATTGGTTGAGGACTTTTGTTACCCACTTCTTTTTGAGTGTTTTGACACCAAAATCACAACGATCCAATGGTTAGATCGTCGAAACCACTCCTTAGCTCCTTTGACAGCGACAACAGCTCCATTTTCCAGCAAACAGCAGCGAGACCGTGAAATTGACATAGGGTGTTTTCTCAGCATTCTTCTTTATGTCCATTGACACTAGCGGTGTCAAAAACGGCGGCCGGGAAGGAGGTGAACGGCGGCGGCAGTGGCGGGAACTCCGGCCACCATGGATGGTGGTGCTCCTGCCGGAATCGAGCTGTGAAAAAGGATGAGTTTTCTTCATCTCTTCGTTCTGAATCCATAGGAACCAGAATCACCTTGATTGGATGTCGGATGGAGGAGATATCACGAATCGGAAGCTTTGGTTGTTTTTGGAACTTCGACCGGTGATTGCGGCTGATTCCGGAGCAATTGGAGGTCGTGCGACATGTCAACTTGCTCAGCTCGTCGAGATCTTTACAACGAGCTGGGAGGTGTCAAAAACGTACACCGGAATTCTCAACGGGGTGTGTTGGCCGGCGTGAAGAGAGAGTGAGCTTGGAAGAGAGAGAATGAGAGAAAAAGGAGAAAAAAGAAAGAAAAAGGAAAAAAATGAGCTTAGGTTTTCTGTGTAAATTTGGTAATTAGACTTCAAAATACAATTTGAATAGAGTATGAAATGATCCATTATTCAAATTTTAAAAAATTAGTTACTAACACTTAAAACTGTTCGAGGAACAATAGTATCAATTTCAAAACAATCATTTTTAAAAGAGAAATGTCATTTACGTGATAATTATAAATTCGGACTGATTATAAATTCGGACTGATTAAAAGAGAAAGGTCAATTTCAAAACAATCATTATAAATTTTGAAAAATTCAGATTTTTCGGTAGTCACGGGCGGCCCGTCCAATGTTTCAGCACTGATTATAATTGAGAATCTTTCACTAATATTAAATTAATTAACACTAACCATCAGATTTGATTAATTCATCTCAATTAAATTAATTGAATGTTACAAATTCTCTCCTAACTCTCTTATAAATTGTCGACTTTCACCCTAAATTTAAATTAAAAAAGAAAATTCACATCATACTGAAATTTAAAAGAACAGAACGTGAGTGAAAATTGTCTAGTGAACTCTTTCAAACACTTTTGTTGATGATTGTCTATTTGTTTTATGCGGAAGAATACTCTATACAGCTATTTCCTACATTTTTTTTTTTTTCCTTAGAATTCCCTTGTTGTCTACTTGCTTTTTTACCTGTTAAGATTCAGAGCTTAATTAATTACTTTGACGGTTTATTACTTTATGTAGAGGATTACGCAGAAAATTCCCCTCTCGGGAGTGTAGGGTGAAAGCTCCTTGACCAAAATTTTATTAAGGTAGTTTGAGAATTCTACACTTATAAAATTTAATTGCCCTAATTTTCATTATAAAAAGGGGCCGCCATTTTTGGGGATTAATAGAAAGGTAGAGAAAAACACATAGAATTGAAAGGTGTGCGATTTTTCTCTTATAATTTCTTAATTATAGTAAAAGAAAAGGCAGTGGTGGAAAGAGAAAGTAGTCTTAAATGAGACCAACGTTTATAAATTTTGTGTGTTGTTTTTGCTTTTGCTTTTTTTCTTTTACTGCATTTTTTATTGCTCTTAGTAATTAGAATTAGGATTTCTAATTCTTAAGTCTCTTTAATTTCACCGATTCAAATTTAGAATTCGAGTTTTATCAGTAAAAAATTTTCAGAAACAGTCACATCTAACCTTTTTTATTACAGTAAAATGTTCTCACATAAAATCACATTTTAACTCAAATTAACAAAATAATCGGACCCTTAATAATGTGATCTCCCATCTTTGAATGGTCACATTGGGAATTTGGGTAGTATTGCACGTCCTTTTTGTCTTTTTTTACTTCATTAAGTTTGTTTTTCATTAGAGGCTCTGCTAAGCACTCAGAACAGATGTCAACGAAACAATATTGTGACCAAATAATGACTATTTCACCTTCAAATGGCATTTGAAAAACGAGATGACTTTGCGATCAAAACCGAAACTTTTGTTTGTTTATCATGTTTTGTTTATTATTGAAGTTCTTCTACCAATGAAATTTTGTTACTTGTTAATGTTTGTTGAGAGGCTGGATGGTGTACAGGCTAACGACCATTAATTAAAAAGTACTATGTTTCCTTTTCCCTTTCCTTTTTCTTTTTCAATAACTAGACAAAGAGTTCAAAAAAAAAAAAAAAAAAAAAAAACCTAAATTTTCTTTTGTCGATTTGAATGACCAAATCAACTTCGCCCATATGCAAAGAAAAATATAGTCTTATGTTTTTTAACGAGCATGTGATCACAAAAAGAAATATTCCTTCTACAAAACAATTCATCATGCAATTATCAGCTACTACTAATTAATTGTTTATTGGGCTGCAACAAATTGCTGCATTAAACAAAGTCCAACCTTAATTAGTGACTATGATTGATTAAGAAATATGATCAACAATTAAAACTGTTGGGTTAATTTTAGCTGCTTATAAAATGGCCACTTGAGTTAAACTTATTTTGTTAAAATAAGGGCACATATAAATTACAATCTACTTCCTTTTCTTGCAAAAGAAAACTGTAATTCATTCTTTCCCCCAAGAAAAAAGAAAACTGTTTTTTTTCTTATTTTTTTCTTCGAGGAAGGGTACGCTACTACGCTCGTTTCTCACATGCAAAACCTTCGAGTCAAAACCTAGAAAACATGCAAAATGTTTCCAATGTGAAATAGAGGGCATTACAAACGGATTGAGTAAAATAGCAATATAACTAGGTAATAAGCCTACCCCATTTCTTCGGAACCCAAAAAGAAAAAAAAAAAAAAAAGTCTAAATTGGCGTGCCTAATTACTAACTAATATTATTAGTTGCAAAAAAACTGGTAATATTATTTGGAGTTCCTTCTAAAAGCTTTGATTATTAATTATTGCTATGCTATACAAGTGCAATAATTATAAACATTACAAAACAAGAAAATGAGCCTCTAACTACACTACGAAATACTGTCTTCACTTTTTATATTTTTCTAGAATGATACCACAAAACTTTACAGAAAAAAAGCCACGTTTTTTAATTTCCTAATCTATTTTCAACGAACTAATTAGTACTTTTATTTAATTTTATTTTCTGTCTGGTACATATCAGCGTGATTGCGTATCCCTTGAATGTGATCTCTGCACCAACAACACAAAAATCAAACATTCCAGAAAATAAAAGAACCACTTTTGTAATATTCTTGGTTACGAAAAATATCTCATTTTTTCCCCTTATGTCGGGTCTTTAACCATTTTAGGGTTTTATTATTATTCTTTCTAAGAAAACAATGAACATGATTTGTCATAATTTTGTGGAGACCTATTATTTATGTCATTTTTAATAATTTAGTGTCATTGTAACCTTTTATTTTTTCTTATTAATTAAATAATAATTGTTTATTTTTAAGTGAAGTGGCGTAAATAATATTTTTTTTACCATTTCGATTGGTATTTTTGGTTTTTTTATTATATAAAATCTAATCATTTATTCATTGTCCCGTTAACTAAATCTCTTAGTTGTTCTCCGCAGGGCTACCATGCTCTGTATTAGTATCCATGCAATCCTCGTGCTAAGAACTAATTTAATGAGAATTTTTTATATTTAATTTTATTCATGTATAGATATTCTCATACAAACATATTATTTGTGATATTATTGTATGGTACTATTAGCTGTCTTTTTACTTATTTGACTTCCTTAATTCTGATTCGTTGTCATCAAATAATTCAGCGAAAGAGATATTCCAACACATTTTTGCAAACTACAAAATTTGGACCATAATACGAATCTAACAACTTTAGTAGTTCACAAAACGCTACTATCTAGCCTTCTCTTCTATTTGTGGCCATCGATGGAGATGTCGTTTGTTGAAAAATAATAATTTATATATATATATATATATTGTGTGTGTGTTTAACTTACCAATCAAATTAAATGAGCTTATTAGTCCAAGCTAAGCCAGCCTAGCTAGTTGCAAAATTTGCCTGCTTTTAGAATGTATTATCCAACATTCATCATCCATTCGCGCTTCTTGAGAAACACTCCAAAAATTCAGCTACCCATATATAAGAAAAGTTTCTTGAAAAAATGCACGCAATGTTACAAGTGATCAGTATTGTAATCTTCATATTTAGTAAAGAAATTTGACTCCATTTCTGTGTAAAGTTAGTCCCATTTTTTTAATTATTATATTCTCTTTCTTCTTTTTTTTTGATGCTGTAGTAATAAGGGAAATCTCAAAGGAATAAATTATTAAATAATGATGATGTGATAATTATGGGGTGGGAATTGGTTTGAACAAAACAACGGACAAAAGGAATTGACCTATAACGGACAAATGAAACTTCAAGAATTCCCTTTTTTGCAAACAAAAAAAATAATAATTATTGAAACGTTGCTGGTACAGTGGTACAATACAATATGGCGTCTGGGACCTCCCTTGCGACCCATTCCTACTATTATTTCTCAAACTCTCCTATTTTATAGCCTCTTGTTTAGTTGTTTTTATAGTATTATTTATTTTCTATTCACATTTCACACATTTTCTTTTTTTATAAAAAATAAAGATAAATTGTTAGTGTGTTTATGTCATGGGTGAAAAATCAAGGTAGGTCGATTGTCCCTGTAGAGGAGCGCGTACACCATTATCCCTTCTCTACAAAACCCCCCCATTACTCTAATTCTCTCCCTCACTCCTCTCTCTTTCTCTATCTCTCTCTCTCTCTCTCTCTCTCTCTCTCTCTCTCTCTCTCTATATATATATATATATATAAACTTATTTTTCCATCAATAGCGTTCATTACATTCTCATAATTTCACTACAAGAACTGCATTACTCCAAAACGTCATGACAGAGACCAAAAATAACTCATCAGAACCTGAAAGCAGCACCAGCGCCAACTCTTCCCCATCATCGTCGTCGCCGTCGTCGTCGACGACACCATTATCATCGTCTGGAATGTTCCAGAAGGTGAAGAAGAAGAAGAAGGCGAGCTCGCTGAAGACTGTGAGAGAGAGGGAGTGCAGCAAACAGAGTCCCGTCAGCAAAAAGAGTCCTGTCATGTACCGTGGAGTACGGATGCGGAGCTGGGGGAAGTGGGTGTCGGAAATCCGAGAGCCACGGAAGAAGTCACGCATATGGCTCGGGACCTTCTCGAATCCCGAGATGGCCGCCCGAGCCCACGACGTCGCCGCCCTCACCATCAAGGGCGCCTCCGCCATCCTCAATTTCCCCGACCTCGCACACTCCCTTCCCCGCCCCGCCTCACTGGCTCCCCGCGACATACAAGCCGCAGCTGCCAAAGCCGCCGCCTTGGCTGACGTCGACTTAACAACCACGTCATCGCCGTCTACGTCATCATCATCGTCATCGTCGTCTAATCATTCGGAGGATCAGTCGGAGGAATTGGGGGAGATAGTTGAGTTGCCGAACATAGAAGGGACGTTTGACTCGCCCGAGTCCGCGGGGATAAGCGAGTTCATGCTAGTTGACTCGGTCGACAGTTGGGTTTACCCGCCTCTGGAAGTTGAGCTTGGAGTGGGAGGTGGTCAATTCTATGGTGAGTTTTTTTCTGATCAGATTTTGGCAGCTGAGAGTTTGGTTCCCAGCGACACTAGTACTATTGAAGGTCTAGTACTGTGGACTAGTTGAATATTGAGTATAATTGGGGTGTGCCTTTTTTTTAATTTTTTTTTTCTCATCATCTGATCCTTAATCCACAGCCGTTTGATTGATCTATACATGTTGTTTTACCTTTTTTTTTCCTAACATTTTCACGGTCGATATTGTAAGATAATGATGAAAGATTACAAGTTCAGTGCATATATAACAATATTTAGCACTAGTTTTATATCGTTTCTCCCATTACTCGTTTAAATTTTGTAATGAATTATTGCTTGTTGAATGTTGTGAAACAAAAGTCATTGTTAATATAAGGTTAATTTATATAATTTAGCAGCAGTATTCCAAGCCAAAAGAGCAGAAAAGATAGATAGATAGATAGGTTAGGCACATGGTCAAGCACGTTTTATGTGACAATAATAGCTTACAACTTGCAATTGATCAATTATGTCCGACGGTTGTCCTATCTTTGAGTCATTTATTTGCTCATTTTTAGTTGCGCATATGGCTTTTTGTATCCTTGTGGTTGTTGAATAAGCAAAGACTATTAGCTACCACTTAAAAAGAATAAATAAAAAATAATAAGTTAGAACCCCCGGATTTGAACTCATATCTTTATCTATATTAAATATGTCTAGATTATAGTGCCACTAAATATATATTTGGCTCTAGTAATATTCCCAAAAAAAAAAAAAAAAAAGTACTATTGGCTAATATTGTGGACTCTGCAACAAGTTTTCTCTCGCATTGACTTTCCAAGTGTATATTCCACTTATGAACTTGATCAATTAATCGCTTCAATTCTTTCTTACTCAACATTTGAAAAATAGTAGTATGGGAAATCTCACGCATACCAATTAAATTGCTTAACTATTCTCGTAATTATGATGTCGATCTGATCATTGTCATGTTTTTTTTTTTTTTTTTTTTTTTTTTTTTTTTTTTTTTTTTTTATCATTTCTTCGGCCAGCATCTTTCCATATGATATGAAAGTGAAATTGCAAAAATGAACCGTTGGAAATTAAGAATTTCAAAATATTCTAGTCGTATTTTTTGTGTACCGTTGCAGTGCTTCCAAACCAAATGGCTCCAATATGCATTTACGTGAGGACAACACAAAGTGGGACAAATCGTACAACTTTGAATGCCATTTCGAAAGAACTTTCCAAGGGAAAAGATAAAGCCCATGTTTCTTACCAAACATATGTCTCTTGCTCAACTTGGGTTTTGGCTAATTAGTGTCCAAGCGTAACATTTACATTCATACTTCGCACACCAAGGAGATAAAAAAATCACGGTTGTTTTATTTGTGCGACATGGTCAAAATTAATATATATATATATATATATATTTTATTTTGAACTACCATCCAATACATATTATATGATTACCTATTCGAGCAGAAATTTGACAAATTCATCAAAAGAGAAAGGTTTCTGCCCAAAGTTAAACAAACCCCAATGTAAAATCCACGCATTCCTCCAATAAAAAACAAAAGAAAAGGAACATTTTGCTTAATCAACAATGATTTATTGCTCCTTTTTTTCTCCTTTGTGAATTCTTTAGGCCAATGAAAAGAGTAGTTGTTCAGTTTCAAAAAAAAAAAAAGAGTTGTTGTTTTTTACTTTTAAACTTTTGGTATTATCACTAATACGCTGTTGTGGTTCTTTTTCTTTCTGTTTTGCTTTGACAATATTCGGATCAAAAATTTCAATCACCCACCATCATGTGTTTTGAACACACGTAATTTTCCACTAGATGGTGATGTCACGCAACCTCTGGTGCATGACTAGCAAGCCAATTAAAGCAACTTTTAAGCTATACTATAGAAGAGAAGATGAAGAATATTTTAGAGAAAATGCGCAAAGATATCAATTACTTGTATTAAAAAAAAAGAAAACAAATTAGGGCCGGTGAGAATTTTGAAGAAATCAGAACTTGGATCCTTGTGTACAGTTGACATAAGCTTTTTGTTTAAATATTCAGCACGTTCACATCAGAAGCAACCATACAATCTATGTATATTTTCACATTTACACACATATTTTTTCTCCAATTCTAACTTTATCTACCTTTATTTTTCCCTTTTATTTACAGCTTTAACCTACCTCCAATATAAAAAATTTGAGAGTTCAAATTTCTGATCTACAAGTTAAAAAAAAAAAAAAAAAGTCTTAATTTTTTATGAAATAATTTCTAGGAATTTTGGCATACCGCGGGATGCATGTATCTTGAGTATCTAAGACCACACTTCTGTGCTCTTAATTACCAGTTGAACCAACATACTTTTCACTAAAATTTATACTATTTTCTACTATTCTTTTCTTTTTGTTTTGAAGGATGGCTTATACTCATATATATATATATATATTTATATATTTAATAACACTTCTTTCTGTATGTAAGGAGTTGGAGAGATTTGAACTAAATATCTTCACATTAGATGTAACTATCCGGGATAAATCAGACCATATCAAATCGACTGTTTGGGATGAGGTTTAAAGTACCAAACTCAAATTAATTTTCATTTGAAGAATCAGCCATTAACTTAAGAGAAAATCAATAAATAAATAAAAAGGTCTTCCGGCCAATCTACTTTTAAGAATATTAATTTATTCAATTATTGAAGCAAAAATAATATACTCATGATCTACAGCTTTTAGGCGTAGCTTCTTGCTTACATATTTGGTAAAACAGGCTACGCGTCCCCTATTTATAAAGCATTAAATCACAACCACATCCCAAGTCTTCTTTGTTTCTTCATCCAACAAGGAAAAAAAAAAAAAGAAAAAGGATATCTAGGGGAATCATATGTAGGGTTGATTGTTCTCATAACATTGGAAAAAAGTATTTCGAAAGTAGTACTGATTTTTTTTCCCTTTATATATATCATTGTCGCGTTAATTTCTTCTAGTTATTATGATAATCACCGACAATTATAAATCAAAACAAAGTCATTTTTAAAATGCCCTTTTCTACTAGTGTCATAAAAATTAAAAAAAAAAAAACCAACAATATTATATATATATATATATATGTGTGTGTGGCGAAGTTGTGTGTTAGATAAATAGTCGATTTCATGAACCATAGGTTTAAAGCATATGGGTTTACTTTCAGGAGACAGTGATGCATTAATTATTACTTATACTTTTATAAAGCAGTACCAATCGACGATGGACGTGGGAAAGTTAAATGACATAACATTAATGTGGGACCGAATTAAAAATATGATATTTTTATTTTATGCTACAGTTAAAATTCGACTTTTTCTATAACTTTATTCTAATTTATTGCACTGAATGAATTAACTTTAATGATCATTTTGGCCATGCATGTCAGACATTGTTAATTTGAAGACAAATTTTGCAGCTGGCGCAAGGTGTTTTTGTTTTTTTTCCTGAATGTGCAAGTATGATATTTTAGATGTCTTGTTACCACGAATCACATATGCTATAATATAGCACTGTACTGGTTGATCTAAGACCCACAATCCCACATTGCCGATCAACTCATTGACATGTTGCAGATAAAAATGTTAGCGTCATTTTTATGTCACTCTCTTTCTCACTTTTTACTTTTACTATTTAGAATTTAGACTACACTAACATAAAATGTTATTATTTAAATAAAAAATGAGAATAATTCACGTGTCGAACAATAAATATAGAACGTGACAAAAAAATAACAAAAAAAACTGACCCTAGCATTTCTCATTGCATGATTTACGGGCCAATACATGCATATTCTATCTTTAATTTGGTCTTCCTTTGACACTTCATGCAATCATATGGATTGGATGGTACTATATCTCAAATGGATATATATATCCTGATATTTTCAGTCATAAAGATAACACAATAAAGATATATAAAAATTTTAATTTTATTGATGATCAATTAATATACATGTTACTGTCTTGATATATGTTTGTAACATGTCTTGAAAGCGTCGCATGCGGAATATTGTAGTAATTATTTTTTGTTGAATTCAGTACTAATTTTAACTAACAGTGTAAATTTTAAAACTAGTTCATCCCTTTGAGTTTATTGTGATCAAGTCACCATTTTCTTTCATTTCTATGTATTTGAATATTTGAATTATATCTCACCAATGGTTGAAAATTAGAATCATTTTGGTAACATGCATGCTGAAATATGATCAGCATTTTGTCAACTCTCCATGGCCTAATTATCTTTAAATAATTTATTTAGTTTTGGCGGAGTTGAAATATTGCACGATCAACTAGTTGATGAGTTATATGAGCAATAAATAAATTACACTTTTATAGACAAGATAAACGGTGTTTTTGTCCTGGTCATAATTACTTCTTACTTACGTAATTTTTGCCACACAATGTCAATACTGGAGAGTTGCAGACTTGCACCATCGTCATTTATTTATTATTATTATTTTTTTCTAGTCTCTTTCAGAACGCTATTTTTTAAAGGTTCAGTTTCCGTTGAACAGATTTTTGTTATTCCTAGTACTGATCGATTCATGTTATTCAGTTGTTATTGGTGAAACGTGTTTCATGTAACGAAGGTCAACATCTTAGTTCCATTCATGATCAAAAGGTCGAATATTGCGTGAGTTTTTTTTCTTTAACTTTCTGTTTCTTTTTTCCTTTTCTTTTTATAATATATATAGTTTGCTTTAATAATGCTCCATGTCTATGATCCGAAACCAAAGTAAAACAAACAAAAAAAAGAAAAGAATAGTTATGTCAATTTATCGGACAGCGCCTTATCAGTGACGTACACGATATATATATATATATATATATATCACCGTTATTCCAAACATTGATTATGTATAAATGTATATAAATAGAGAATTTGGGTTAAAAGAAATTCAAATTCAAGTATCTATTAATTAAGTTGATCGTTTTTATGTTATCTAAAAGAAAAAAAAAATTAAATATCATTTATGATTGAGTAAATATATATACGCTCCTTCCCACTCCCTCCCTATCCAGTATCCACCTATAATTATGGAGAAGATTCATTATGTTATGGTCAATTACTTTTTTTTTTTTTTTTAATAATTTCCCACATGAGGTATATGTATAACATTCAACCGATTTGTGATGTCTAATCATTGCAGTGATCAGTCCCACTTGATTCTACACTTGATGTCTCATCAACCGATTTCTAACAATATTGTTCCATCGGGATACGATTTGTTGAGTAAAATAGTTTAATCAAATATCATCAGCAAGTGCATATATAAATACCTCCTATAACATTAAAAAAAAAATCTATAACAGACAAAAATAAAATTAGGAAATTTGTAATCGTTTGCATTGTGTTTTAATTTATTACTGTTTTTTTAAATATAGTCGCAACCAGCGCCCATGGCCTAATGGATAAGGCGTCTGACTTCTAATCAGGCGATTGTGGGTTCGAGTCCCACTGGGCGTGTTCTATAATCTTTTCTTGTCTTTTTGCATAATCCCTTTTCCGTTTTTCTTACTTTTCTTTGATGGTTTTACGCGTGAAATACGAAGAATCAACGAATAATACTTCCATTGGGGCTGAACATTGAAAGCCATTTACTAGATTGGGTGCCACATGTTCTTAATATTAAGTAGAGAAAGAAAAAGAAACATAATGCTTTTTAGCATAAACTGGCTTTGAATCTTTACTGAATATACTTATTCATGAGAATAGCAAGAAAAAGACAGCTAGAGGATACCACTATAATTTATGTCGTACAATGTTTTCTTCGCTTTGTGATCTTAAAAGTAAATTTCCCACATGATTTTCAAATACTAAGTCCCCATTTCCTATGCTTTACTTTATTCGTTAAGCATCTTAGATTGTGACTTTCTTAACTTTTATATATATATGATTATGACTTTCTTAATTAATATATATCTATAGGACTTTCTCTGGTATGTTAATATATTGATAGGTTAAGTTTTTTACTTATTAAATTTGTATAAAATCATGTAAAAATCTATATACTAGCATATCTAACAGTTAAAAAAACCTGATTATATATATATATATATATATATATATATATATCCTGCGGCAATTATTGTTTCATCTCAAAAATTAAAATATGCTCTCCTTCCCTTCTTTAATCCCTTAAATAGAAGATTAGATGAAAAGAGAAAAAATGTATAATATTGTTCCTCTTATTGTGTAAGCAATTATAATATCACATCAAAACAAAAGGGCAAGATAATAGTCGTGTCATAATAATTTACTTTGTCAATTTTATTTGCTTCGACTTAGAGGTTATTATATCTATCACAACATGAATCTCAAGTAATCTTGAGATATCAAGCAAACAATTCTTTTCCAATCAGATTCTTCTATTTGTGTGCTTCAAATTAAGCAGAAGCTACGTTGACAAATTATAAAAGAAGTTGGGTAAGATGTTAAATCGTATCACTTAATTATTTCTCATTTTTTTTTCCTCCTTATTTATTATGAGAACTGCTTTTGTGGGAAAAGCATACAAGTACTATTACGTAGTACTCCAGTTGATCGGGAAAGATATATATATATATATATATATTAATTAAACTTCGCATGTATTTATTTGTTTATTTATTTAATGGATTTCTTTCCTTCGTTTGCTTGTGAACTTGTTTCGCGACTTTTTTGTCTACTGATTTTATGTCATTGTCATTCGAGATACTTCAATGTCACGGTGTGTCGATATTTAGGAAATGACCACCACATATTGAGCTACAACTCATCAGGATAATGCACTTTCTTTCCCACATTATAATTGTGTCGGATGCTTATAATTATTTGATTTGAAACGGCTAGCTAAAGTAGGGTCACGTAAATAAACTTTCATACGTATTTCAACACCTACAGCAACATATATATCATTAACGTTACTGTTGTGTGGGAAAATGTGATGTACACCTAGACCAACGGCGCCACGATACGTGGCTATACTTGCTTTCTGCCGAGCATCCAACCATCGACGCTTCGTTTCCCTCACGATCAGCTATAGAGCCCGAAGATGAAGTCCATGATTAGGGCGACGACCCCATGAGACGTCGACGGTTGATTCCGCCTGGGTCGACACGACAAAATCCCTCGACTACAGAAGGGATCACTAGAAGGGGCGAGAAAGGTTAAACAACCACTGATGACGAGGGGAACGTCCTTTTTTCGACATAATGGGTTACATGCAAAGATAAGAGAGGTCTGACAGCATTTATTGCAAGTTTACAAACCGCACCCCCCAGGGGATAGAAAAGCATTACGGAGACTCACAGAGCCGTAATAGAAGACTAATTGGTTGAGTGAACAGTACTGATTAGTGGGCTATGTCTGGGCCTAGAGCACTTGAGTGTTCCTACCTACGAAGGAAACCCACCCAGCGAAGGCAGTCCGAGTATAAAAGAAGAAGGACCCCAATAGGGAATGGGGCCAAAAAAAAAAAAGATGGTAAAAGAAAAAGAAAAAGAACGAGGGAGAGAGAGAGATAACATTCATTTTGTAAACTACGAGCTCTACCAAAGAAATATAATATATACAGTGGATGTAGCTCTAATATTATAGAGTGAACCACTATAAAATTCTTCCTGCTCATTTACATACAGTTGGTTCAAACACAAAAATACTTAAATCAAACTAGAATCCACACTTTCATTAAACCCACAAGCCGGTAATCCTAAGAGTAACTCCAAGGTAATCCGGCGAGTTTATTGTTGACGAAATCTAACCGTCAACAGTTACCATTATTGATTATCCTCAGTTGAAAATAGCAAAAGTATATGAAAAGAAAAAACCCTCAATGATTACTAATATATATATATATATATATATATATATATATATATACACACAATACTAGAGAGGTTTTAGGAACCAAAGAGCTAAAGACAAAATTCGCAAACGTGTATTCCCTAGAAAAGCCAATTTTTTTACGTGACCCCTTTGAAATTCTTAGCGGCCCTTTGGGTATTTCTCGTTGAAATAATGATCCATGAAATAACGAATTGTCTGCCATGCCATTGAAAGTGATTGCAAAACGAGTAATGCTATATAATAAGCAGGTATTATTACAGCCAAGTTGGTCTTAATTATATTACTAGAGATGAGAAGTCGGTAGATTGTAATTTCTAGTGGTTTCTTCTCCAATAGATTCTCCAAGTGGATTTGTGAATCAATTCTTTAATAATATTCGTTTAAAAGTGTTTTCTCATGTTGGAAATGGTATACGTGTTGACGTATTAGCAGAAGAAGCATGAATTAAGCGTGCACTATCCTATCAACAAAAACAGTGGCTTTGCTATGATTAATGTATACTCGTAAGTAGTAATAAAGAATAATAAGTAGTATTAAAGAATTAAAATAATAATAAATAGAATTTACGGGAGGGGACGCGCAATTCGTAGTGAAATAAATATGCGAAAAAGTGTTTGTTTTTCGTTAATTTAAAGAACGAAAGGAAAAAAAAAAAAATTTTTAAAACTTTTTCTGGACGGCATATTTGTTTCAGACCAAAAAACGACATGTCCAAAATATAAGTCGTTCAATCTTATATCTAAAGGTTGGGAAAGCCACATATCGTCTAACGTGGAAAACAAAGATACGTTGCATTGGTTTAGCCTTGTTAAGAAAAACGACCGTCGGTTTAAGATAGGAAAAGCTATTAAATGTCGTTTCCAAATTCCAAGTGGAATTTATGATTTATGATTTATATTTTTATTCCCTTCCTAATACGTGTTGTTTCCCTCATTCTCCCTTTTATTTATCTTTCCCTTTCTTTTTGATGCAAAATAAACATGCCCTAAATACAATATTTTTTTTTTTTTTTCATTTTTAAAAACTTCTATACACTAATATAGAAGTCTTATTCATTTGTAGATGAGACTTCTACACCAGCGAGGTCTAGAGAAAAGTTATGAACATTACACTCGTGCATAACTTCCATACCAAGATTAGCACAATTAATGATATCAGCCCAAGAATTAAGACCTTGACTATCAACTACATATTGGTTGAAATTAAAACCATTTAATTTGAAAACTATAGTGCTAATATTTAAAACCATAAACCAAATACCTACTACAGGATGAGTAGTGTTTATAAGAGATGACTTTTTTTTTCTTAATTTTTTTTTGGAATATTTTAAAAACAACAAATTTATGTAGCAATTATCATAATGGTTTTCACGTTATATGCTACAAAATTATATAGTGGTTACATTTGTAAGCTATCCTAATTTTATTTTTTTTGGCTATATTTTATGTTTTAACATTACTAGTGAGATTATGTTATATGTCTAATCACTTTTTTTTAATTGTAAGAATTACGCTAGATGAAAATAATGAGAGTGAAGCTGAGCTATATAGTATTTTTTTAAAATACTTTAGAAATGAAAAAAAAGTAAATAGTAATTTTTTTAATGACACACCCACTTTTTATACTACAAAATTACCTAATAATTGTTTCAATAATTTTAATTTTTACTATCTGTAAGTAAAATTTATAAAATATTCTAAATATAAAAATGATGACATAGTAATTATCAGATATCGCATGTTGTATTAATATTAATTTTTGTTAATCTTACAATATTATAAAAATACTCATACTTACCCTCAAAAAAAAAAAAGAGAGAGAGAGAGAAAATACTCACTCTTGTTTGACAAATTTCAAGCCCAAAATAAACATAATGGGCCGGACATCATTAGGCCGAGTATCACTTCGAGTCCGAATCCATACAATTTCCCAGTATTAAACCAGAAAGAGAGAGTTGTGGAAACTCGATCTCGCAGGTCGCGGTCGGTGAAGTCAACCGCGCCGGCGACACGAAGGAAAGCGTAGAATTTTGCACATGGATTCCCAGACGCAGAACACGTCGTTGCAGAGGCTTCAAAATGTCGAGAAGGTATTGAAAATCCATTTTTGATTAATACGAAGCTCGACCGGTATTTAGGGCACAGATCGTGAAATACAATACGATTTTTTCAATTTGATTTAACTGGTTTTTGCGCAGAGAATCGTTAGGGTTTTGGAATTGGCGGGAGGAGTAATGGACGAGCTTTCGAACCCTGCGGGGCCCAGAAAGGAGTTCGTCAACAACCATTGCCGCGAATTCATGCAATTGATCAAGGTCTTTCCTCGCGTAGCATTTTACATTAATCGTTAAAAATGGGATTTTGGGAAAATTTTGATTCATTATTTTGGATTAATAATGGGTGGCGATGTTTTGATTGGTTTAGATTATTTTTATTGATTTTTGATGAATTAACTAGAATAGTACAACATTTGGACTGGCCAATTAGTCTGCCAACTGTTTGACTATATGCCAAACAGTCTGAAACCCACAGGGAGAAATGAAAACCGTGTATTTCGGCTTCTTGGTGAAATTACTTACTGTTAGGTTATATCAGAAGCTGAAAACAATTTGGGTGAAAGGTCTGGGATTTCATACATTAAGGCCGCGTTTACCGAACCGTAAAGGAATGTAACGAGCGTATGTCAAACCGTAAAAGAATGTAATGAGAAAGGTAATAGGATTAAAAGTAAAGTAAAGGAAATAAATAATTCGTATTTCCTTTAAGTGTTTACTTCATTAAGAGTAAATAAAGTAAATTTGACATTCATTTCTTTTAACATGAAATCGATATCAAGCGGTATAAGGATTGACATTCCCTTCCCTTGTCAATGCGTCCTAATTTTAATGAAGTGGAAATTGATGGCTGTTATCCTTAGTTTGGATTAAGCTCTGACTTTGGCTTTTTATTAGTTATTGCTTCTAAAATTGAGGGTGGAAAATTTTGTGAGTTTGTGTTTCTTTTATGAATCAGGATATCCAAGTGTCATTGAGGGAAGAAATCAAAAGCGCATGTGATTATCGTCCCTTCGAGAAGTGCGATTACAGTTCCAGAATAGCCAATGAGATCTGTTGCAAGAAACTGGAATATGTTATCTCTCAGTTGGATGGGATGAAACAAACCATTGATGAATATCATGCTGCAATTTAAAGATGTAGGAAAGAGAACAGAAGAAGTAGCTAGAGCTTTTGATTTTTACTTGGAGTATAGAGACAGAGGTTCCGGGGGTTTAATCCCATGAGGTGCTTGGATTACTTTCTTTGGTGTAGAAATAGAGATGATATTTGGATCTGCTTATGTAATCTTGATCCCTATAGCTTTATCACATCCTAAGTATTTTGGTTTTATTATAGTTGCACTTTTAGTTGGTTTATCATCAATTCATGTTATTGAATGAAATCTATTGCACATACACTCTTAGAGAGCCACTAGATAATAATAGGTTGTGTTCATATCAACATATAGAATGGAGATGTCAAACAAAGATTTATAAAACGAAAACCATATATGCTCATTAAGTATATGTGGTGTCTGCTTCTGAGAATAACATGAAAAAGTGGAATTGTGTCATTCAAACTAGTCATTTAGCTGCTATTCTTTGCGAGATCAGATGGGTAATTGTAAACTCCAATTTTCAGTAGAAACGAATTACGGTTCTTTAGGAAGATTGAAGAGAGTTAAGGAATACATAGTACGTACCACAAGGAGTTGAGTTGTGTATGCAAGAGGAAAACATTGTAAATTAAAAATAAAAATAAAAAAAACTGAATTTAAATTTGTATAAGAGAAAATATTGTAGCAATATAACTTGAGTTGTAAAAAAACAATGCCATAGTTTTGCTGCCACATAGATGAGCATTAAACCAACTACTACTAGAAGTCTGTAGAAGCAATAATTCTCTCTCCCCCACTTTTCTCAGCAACGGACGGACAATTTGTTGGAATCATGTACAAAGAAAGTACCTTACAAGGTGAGCGACGTTTCTAGGTAATGAAGTTAGCTCTTCGAAGGTTCAGAACTAAGAGAGCAAGGAGTTTATTAGAAGATTGAGAACTCAAATTAGGTGACGTTTATATGGCGCAACATCAAAATGTCGAGAGAGAGAGAGTTTTAGATGGAGTCAACTATAACCCAGAAGTATTAGGCCACTCTATGTGGGAACATAAAATAGAAAGATAATTCGTCTCTGTCTTGTTACTCTTGGGTAGCTTAGGCTTTACGCATATGTTGACTTAAGAAACCATTATCTAATATGCAATAAAGTCGCACGCCAACAAGATAATAGATATGAACTAAGAAGCTTCCCTAAATGGACTAATGCATGCATTGAGATTTGAGGGGCCCAACAACGGGGCTCTAATTGCCTCCATTTTCCGCAGCTTCTTTTCCTCACATTTGCTTGACAACAAGAACAACTGGCCAACACCGTCCATCCACCAGAATTTGCAATGAGCAAAAGTTCCAGGAAGCATATCCAGTGTGGAAAAAAGGCTACCATCATTGACACATTACAGATTACACTGCATTTTTAAATAACTAAAAACCGTTTTCCCTCTAATTTCTTTTTCGAGGGACTTATCTTATCAAGATTATATTACACTCTTCATCGGAGGGGAAAAAAATAATGAAAATAAACAAAGAATTGAGATTTATTTTCCTTCTTTGCAGATGCTTGGGACTTGATTCGTACATTTCCTTGAAGATACTTAGGAAGTTAAATACAAAAAGTCTTAACACACGTGGGGCTCAGGAGAATAGTACCGCTTGGAGATACAGAGTCAAACACACGCATAAAGAGAAACGTAAATTAAAAGTACTTTGTCATTTCTCCGTTTTTTCTGTTCTTGGCAGGACAACGGGTATATAAGAAACATTTCTTCTACATGACACAACCAGGAACACAACACACACGCATAAAAAAGAAAGGTTGTGAGTTTATAAGCTTGAGATAATGGATCCAAGTTTCTCAGAGGCGATCCGGAGAAATGACATCCCAACATTCAACGGTTTAGTTCAGAAAAATGAACGAATTCTCGAGCAAAGAGAAGCTAATTCCAAGAACACCCCAATGCACCTTGCTTCCAAGTATGGACACGTAGACATGGTGTCCAACATAATCAGTTTGAGGCCTGACATGGTTGCTGCCGAGAATAAGGACAAGAACACTCCATTCCATGAAGCTTCTCACGCAGGGAATGCAAAGATCTTGAAGCTACTGTTGGCCGCCAATCCTGAGGCTGCTCGTCAGCTCAACTCGGCCAACAAGACTGCACTTTTCATGGCTTGCAGTAATGGCCACGTTGAAGCGGTGAGTCTGCTGTTGACTCAGCCTGGACTACCGCGTCTAGGTGAAGATGGAGCGTTTGATCGAACTTGTGCCCATGTCGCTGCAGCAGGTGGATATACAGGTAACTAAAGTAACAAAATTTGCCTTTGTTACGTAAAAATCCTGATTAAAAAAATATATTGTACAGTATGATTGTAAAATGTACTAAGAGCAGAGTTAATGGTATAGATGTTGTTATGGAGCTGCTAAACGTGCACCCCGAATTTGTTCAAATGATCGACGAGAATGGAAATTCGCCCCTGCATTGCTCATCGAGCGGAGGATATAGGGAAATCACTGGGATGCTGCTGAAAGTTGATCCAAGGCTAGCTCAGAAATATAACAACAATGGTTACACACCACTGCACTTGGCCGTGATCAACTATAAATTCTTAGTCCTTCAAGGATTTATGATGATGGCTGCAGCATCTTTCCAACGCCTCACAAGAGAAGGAGAGACGGTGTTTCATCTTGCTGTGAGACATAACCGATATGAAGCTCTAGTGCTCTTGATTAACATGTGCAATGGGATGAACTTGTTTAGCTGTGAAGATCGACATGGTAACACCATCTTACATCTTGCAGTTTCCGAGGGAAATCATCAGGTAAGAAATCACGATGCAATACTGAGAACAAGGCCACTAACAGTATGAAACAAAAAGAAAAGACAGTTTGAGCTTCTCTTTAACTTTGCTCCTGATTTCCTTAATTGCAGATGGTAGAGTACTTGATCAAAAAAACAAAGGTGGACGTTAATTTACGGAACTCGAAAGGGCTCACAGCACTCGACATCCTTGACCCGGCCAAGGACAGAGTAGAACATCGGCGTCTTGAAGCCATGTTCCGTGAAGTTGGAGGGAAAAGAAGCATTGAATTATTATCCACCCCTCCAAAAGTACCAAAGAAAAGTGCTAGGCCGCTGCCACTAGAAACCGTACCACGAAGGATCCTTTTTGAGAACGAAATGCAAGTCTTTTCCAAGAATTCTTCGTGGCAGCAGACACATATGGGGGATGAATGGCGCGCACGGACTCTTAATGATAAGGGCTCTCCTTCACCTTCAAGCAAGGCCACTTCTAGCTCTTTATCATCGCCCCAATCGATGTCTTCTTGTATGTCATCGCCACAGTCCAGAAAGTTCTGGCCCCGAGTACTTCATATTGATCAAGAGGGAAGTGACAACGGAATAACACGTGATCCAGAGTCCTTGTCTCCATCCGACATACGACACGAAGATTGTGTCTGCAGAAGTCACCAAGAATTACTCTTTGAGATCCTCAACAAGCGGCGGAACAAGCAAGGCCACAAGGTATACACAGAAGCGTTACAGAATGCAAGAAACACCATCACACTAGTGGCTATTCTGATTGCGACAGTTACTTTTGCCGCCGGGATTAGCCCTCCAGGCGGTGTCCACCAAGAAGAAAAGCTGAAAGGGAAAGCAATGGCAGGCGAAACAGTAGCTTTCAAGGTGTTTGCAATAAGCAATGACTTGGCATTGTTCACATCTCTCTCCATAGTTGTGGTTCTCGTCAGCATCATCCCTTTTCGGAGAAAGGCACAGATGAGGCTTCTGTCACTTGCTCACAAGGTCATGTGGGCAGCTGTGACATTCATGGCGATGAGCTATGTTGCAGCCATGTGGGTGATAATGCCGAAGAGCCAGAGGATGGAAATTGCGTTTGTGGCGCTTATGGCGGTGAGCGGCGGGACTCTAGGGATTGTTTTTGTTGGCCTGGGGATGAAGTTGGTTGAGCACTGGTTGGCGAAAAGTAGGTGGAAAGAAAGGAGAGACATAGAGGCGGGAGTTCCTGATCCTGAAATGGGAAGCGAAAACTCAGATGTTGCAAGCTCCTATCACAAAGGATATCACTCATATTGACTTTTTTTTTTTTTTTTTTTTTTTTTTTTTTCTCCCCAGGGGGGGGAAAAATTCACCAATTTAATGGGGGGA